GGTCACCTGGTACAGTGATTGATTATTGCAAATATATATGGAATAGAGGTGTAATAGTTTACTTTACTACACAGCAACAGAAAAACAGTTCGAGATAATAATGATATATAGATTAACTTTTATTAAACAAATACACAGTGCCAACCTTGCCTGTAGGAATTACTCTAGAGGGGAAATATTACTTTTACAAATTAGAGGTAAAGGTAGAAGGGTTTAGGTTGAAGTATAGAAACTTAGAATTGGCAGGGAAGAGTAAAAGCTACCCTTTATATATCTTTTTACCTAGCAAGAATAGTAGGAATTCGAGCAACATTACTTAATACTGTACTCAGAATAATAAGGGTTCAAACAATATTAGATATCATTGTAGTTGGGATAGTGAAGGTTCGAACAACATTAAATAATACTGTGCTTGGGGTAGTAGGGACTGTACAGAAGCAATTGGTGATATTGTTTATATCATTTGTCATTTATGCTTGAAACACTTGAGGCTTGTGTTTAGGCATTTGAATCTGTGCAAAGGCACTTAAAATTTGTGCAAGGATACTTGGAGTTCATGCAGGGACACTTGGGGTTCGTGTCGGGGATACTTGAGATTCTTGTGTTGCGGCACTTGGCATAGTAATTTGGTGCTAGATATATGAAACTTGTATAGGAGTACTTGGGGTTTGTAAGACAATAGTAACATCATAGATATTATTCAGTGTTATATAGCTGTACCACATTGCTAATAGCTAATTAAGATCCTTTTTATCTATCTACTATATAATATAACTATTGACTAACTAATAACTAATAATAAATATAATATAAAATACAATAAAGAATATATATAACTACTAATGCTATTTATAATATACTATGCTAAAATCTACTTTGTAACAGTATGTATATATGATAGAGTAGTAAAAAAATTTAAAAGGTTTTGGTATTTTGAAATTACAAATTAAAAGTCTATATATATATTAACAGTAGAGTTTTTAAAAGTAGTAATAAGAGCTGATAAAATAGCAGTAAGTTTTAATTTGAATGAGCAAGACCAAAGTTTAACTTATGTCTGAAATATATACAATATAGAATTATTGTTAACTTAAACCTATCTAATGCCTATAAAGCATTGAGAAGTACTTAAATTAATAACAGAGCTATTAGTATAGAAGTGGAGTTCTTTTTGGTTAGTATTGTAATTAATAATTTGTTGAAGTTTTTGAGTTAGTATATAGGATTCAAAGATAGTTAGAATTAAGTTTGTTAAAATAATAATATTGAGTAGGCTTGGAGTTTGAATAGAGTGTTTAATTGCAACTGAGTATAAAAAGTCCAAATAATTGGCATTAAAGTTAAGAGTTTTATTATTTGTGTTAATTCAATCAAAAAATTAAGTTAAAAGATTAATAAGAATAGTAATTATATATTTATTATTAATTGTATATAAATTAAAAGAACAACTAGGACATGCTTGTAATTAAATAAGTGCAAAGGAATATAAGTGAGTAAATTGTAATTCAATTTGACATTGTTAGTGAGTAATAAGCACAGTGCCAGAATGAAAAGATTGTTTTTTGGCTTTACTAGTAATAATTTGGTTATTAAGTATTATAATAAGCCAGAGTTTTTTATATAATAAGAAGTGTCCAGTTGTGTAGCTATAGTAGTTAGTATCAGATAGGTGTAAGAGTGAGTATAGTGTATAGTTGTAGAAATAACTTGTAACTTGGTCTTCTAAATAGGTAAACTAGAGAGGTTGTTTGCCTTTTGGAATTTTATAAATATAAGAAGAAATATGTTTTCAATCTAGTAAGCATGAATTATTAAATATAGTAAGTTGGTCTAAGTATAGAATGCTATGATAGTTAAGTTGTTTTTTAAAAGTTAGATATTTAGGATGTAAGAAAAGAAGGAATTCTAATAAGATAGAGCTCTTTTGAATAGTATATAGGATGTTATAAGTTGGGTTAAAGGTAAATGTTATACTAAGATATTTAAAAAGTTGAATAATTTTAAAGTTAGTAGAATGTTTGTTTGGTCTATCAATAGTAGAATTGTTGTGTATTAATATACTAGTAGGTAACCAAAAATTATTTTGAAGTTGCTGAAGTCAAATACAAGTACTAATACCAAGAAGATTAGGAGAGTTAAGTCTTTTGATATAGTTTGTAATATGGTGTTGTAGTTGAATGTCCCATATGTTGTGAATATTATATAGTTAAAGATAAAGTAAAGTACTAGTAGAAGTTATACAACTAACTATGGCTTTGCTTTTAACAAGTCCAATATGGTTTGTAAGGATTTTGTTACAAGTGTTTTGGTTAAAAATTATATTATAAAGGTAATATTCAATTGTAGAAATAATAACTGTATTAATAATATATTATACATGTATATCAGTAATTTGTTTAGTATTTGCAATTTTAATAAGATGTGAAGACTTAGCCATAATAAGCTTTGTCTATTTTGTTTGTTTGTTATTAAATATAAACCAGCATCTTAGAAACTTGAATGGTTTGCTTAGAGGATGAAGGTTTTTTTTTTGAGTATTCTTGTTGCTTTTAGCAACTAGAGATGCAGGTGGTGCTTTTTATTAATGTATTATTATATTAAAATATTATAAACAGTCTAAATACATTTTAGATATTTACAGATTAGTTTGGCAGTTTTAGATCTATGACCTAGTATGTTGTATTTTAAAATATGTATTTCTTTTGAAATATGAGCTTTAATTAGTATACTAAGAGAGCTTAGAAGAGTATTAGAGCTTTATCATTTTAATAAGGTATATCAATACCAAATTTCATAGATTATATTGATATATAGCCAGATTATAGTAGTTAATGCTTGAGCATAGTCAATGTTTGAAACCTGAAAAACACTTTCCAAGTTGGTTAGTATAGGTTTTTTCTTATTAAGATTTAGAAACTTATATGTCTTCTTTCAAATTATTATACTTCTAGAACACTCAAAAGCAAAGTGCTCAAAAGTTTGTAGCTCTTTTGAATACCAGATACAGCTGCCTGTTTCTGATGATCCTATGTATTTAAAGTGATATTCTAAAGGAAGAGCTTTATGAAAAGCTATCAAAAAATGTCTTTTTTTTTTGTTGTATATAGATTTTAAAGAAAGCCAAGTAGGTTGTATATTCTGAAGTGCAAAGTGAAAAGAGATAGATAGTAAAGTAGCCTTTTTTAAGAGCTTTAAGATTTTTTTAACTAAGAGCTTATTTCTTTTCATTTTATTAACTATAATTTCTTTTTTGTTCTAAGGCCAGTTAGTACTAAAAAAGATCTTTTCTTTAGTTCTTGTTCAAGCTAGCAGGTAGGGTTTCTATTTTGTAGACCAAGCTTTTGAGCATATATTATCTAAGTTTAAAGCCTGTAATAAAGATATATTTCTTTTTTCTCTAAGCATTATGCTTATTTTGCTTCTTTCATATACCACTCATATTGAGTTTGAGGTAAGAAGTTTTAGCCAAACAGAAATTAAATGTGCATTTAATATATCTTTAATAATCAAAGCTTGAAGTCTTGCCAGATCTACAAACTGTTAAAAAGTAGAATATCTGAAAAGCATTTGTGAAAAACCTTTGATCCAAAAAGAGATAATTCTATTTATTTCTATTACTTGCTTTCTGTTAGAAGGTAGCAAATAGACTGAATACCAAATTTTGGAAAGAATGAGTAAATTTGTGATAAGAATTTTTTCTTTAAAGAAAAGATTTTTATTTGAAAGTTTATTAAGTGATTCTTTTAGTTTATTAATAGTTGTAGCTCAAAGATATTTTTTTAGTTAACCATTTATAAGACCATCATATTCTAAAATAATAATAGTATCTTGTTTCTCTAACTTAATAAACTGGTCCTTATTATAGAGCTCTACTTTTTGTGCAATAGAGATAAGTAGAACTAGTTTTGTTTTTGTTTTATTAATCTTTGCATTAGAAGTAGCCTTATATAAGCTTATTAAAGCTTTTACCTTGTTTCAGTCAAAAGGAGATCCAATTTCTATAGTTAAGTCATCAGCATATATAGCAGTTTTGAAATATTGGTTTTCCAATTTAATTTCTTGCATTTGTCTTTTCAGAGTTCTTATAAGTAGTAAATGTGGCCAATCAAAATTTATCGGCTAAGCTTAGCCGATAAATTTTGGTCAGCTTAGTCGGCTTAGCCGATTTCCTAATTAGGTCTCAATCACATGACCAAATACATTCATTTATATAGCAAATACTTAGATTATCGAACTTTAATTTATTTGAATCAGTCCCATGGATCCGCAAATACAATATAAATAGCCACCAAATTTAAAGGGAAATATGGTGAATAATTAATTGAGTAATGTTCATTTTAACTTCTAAGAATTCTAAGAAAGAACAGGTACTCTTTTTTTTTTTTTTTTTTTTTCTTGAGCTAATAAAATGTATTGTATTTTCTTTAAGGTTTTCTTTAAGGATCAACTTTTAGAGACTAGGATCAGACCGGACTAGTCTCACCATTTAACACCCTAAATGCTAAACATTAAATTCTCAGCAATAGAGTCGCCCCGGGTTAAAAATACTTTAAATAATTGAAAAAACTGAAAATAAAAGTCGAAATTACAAGATCAGGTAAGATTTAATAAGCATTTATTTAATAATTTTTTTTTTAACGTTCATCTAACTTTATTTTTTTTTGTATAAAAATGAATTCTTGTTACTTCTACCTATAGTTGTTAGGCAAAACCCAAAAAAGGAAATTATAACAATGAACTTCATTGTTATAATTTCCTTTTTTGGGTTTCACCTAACAACTATACTTCTATCCACACTGTTAACAAATCTATCAAGGTAGCTTTTTTTTATACTAGTTTAAATCAAAATAGGGATTAAAACAATTCTAGTTTTCTTTAAAAAAAAGTAGATCATGAACTGTGTTGGGAAGAAGATGATTTCGTTTATCAGTTATGACGTTTCCGGCATCAGAGAAGAGACGCTCTGAGGGAACTGAGGTTCCCGGAATTGCCAAATACCGTTATGCTTGTTGTGCTATTAAGGGAAGTGTTAATTTATTATCTTGCCAAAAGACTAAGGGGTTATGTTTTTTATAAAGAGGATCAGAAGGGTCATATTTTATCATCTGGGGCATGTCTAAATACACCTTTAGTTTGTTTTCAATAGGGCAAACTTCTTGAAAAGTTTTTTCAAATAATGAATTTAATAAAGAAGAAGATAATCTATTTTCAATTGAAGGTATTGTTGAGTTTATATTTTTTACAGCCTCCATCCTGTGTTTTAATTCATTTTTCATTGGTTCTAGTTTTTCTGGCTCAAAGCTTAGGTCCTTAAATCTTGGGTCGAGAATAGTAGTGATATAATCTTCAACTCCAGGCTTATCCCAACGGTTTCCAAATGAAAGCTCTATCTCATTACATACATCATGAACAATTAGATGTTTAAGTATCGCTTCATTTTCAAATAGATGATCTTGTAATATTTTAATTAATGGTAACATCATTGAAAAGGTAGGATATTGATCACCACCCATTATGGTTGTAACATGTGCAAAGGGACCTAGCAACTTAACCAACTCTTGAATTCCTAATAAATCTTCTTCTTCAAAGAGCAACTCTTCTAATGCTTTAGCATTTTTTCTAATATTTTTATCTTTATCTTTTGCAAGATCTTTTTGTAGTTTTTTTATAGCTTCGTAAAGATAAAGTAGATGTTCTAACAATGAATGGGTTGAGTTCCATCTGGTTATGGTATCGTTGGATATTGGATCAAGAGCAGAAATATTTTTATTGTTAAGTAATTGATTTTTTTCTTTAAATATTTCAATTTGTATTAATTGTAGTCTTTTTCTAATTTTGTCTTTCCCAGCAACAAATGAATTTAGAGCTTTTGCACAGTCAATTAAGTCAGTAGCCTGTTTTAAACCATCTGTAATACCAAGTTGGATAGTATGAGCTGTACATTTTACATGTAAAATCTCAATATTTTTTAATGCTTTTACTATTGAACTGGCATTATCAGTTACATCGGCTACATATTTGTCACTTAAACCCTATTTAGCTAACTCTCTTAGTAAACAATCTTCAATTCGATCAAATGTATGTGGATATGGGAAACTTTCAATAGTAAGTATAGCTTTATGCATTTCAAATTCTGAAGAGAGCCAGTGGACCATAATTTCAATATATGGTTTGTGGTCTTGAGTCCACAAGTCTGTGGTAAATGCAAAAGATTTTAACATATTGTCAATTAAATTTCTTAAACTATTTTCGGTATAGTTTACTGCCTCATATATTTTTTGTTTAAACATATCTCTATCCAGAAATTGATATTGTGGCTTTGCTTCATATAAAAGATCATGAAATTGGTCATTTTTTAAAACATTGAAGGGTTGCATATCATCAATTATCCAAGCTAAGATTCGGGAGGTAATTCTGTTTTGTTTTTTTTTTGGCAATGGTATTCTATGACTAAATAATTCTGGCAGAGTAGATTGAGATGAATCTAATTGAACAGTTAGTAGTTGGGTTATTTTTTTAATACCACTTAGAGGTAATAAAGGCCCATTTTTATCTAATCTATGATCAGCTCGAAGATGAGATGCTAAATTTGTTGTACTGGTTGAGAGTTCAAAAGTACTTGGGCATTGTTGCTTTTTATCATTATCGCCAACCCATACTTGGCATATAACTTTTTTGTTAAGTTTGTCTTTTTTCATATGTTTTCATACCCAACTTTTCCTTAGCTTAGACCTTTTTTTAGTATTAATATTAGGTAATTTACTAAGTTTTCTTTTATTTTGAGTAAACATATGTAAAATATTAGGTGATTCTTCATTTAAAGAAGGTGCATATTTAAAGAATATTCATTTTCTGATGAAAGTTCATTAGTCAGAAAAGATTCACTATCTAATGGCAAATGAAGCCCTTCATCTAGCGATAAAGATCTTCTTTCATTATCAGATGAGAATAATTCTTTATTTGAAATTAAATTCGATCCTTCGCCTAGTGATATATGTGGTTCATATAAATACAAGTCTTCATTAGAAAAATTTTTTAAGGACATTTTGTAAAGTGGATTGATTATTAACGAATATTGAATTTGATTAAAGGTAATCATTTTCTTTTTATATGCATTTGATTTAATATAAATTAATATTTATTTTTTGTAAATTATATGCCTTGCATAAGGCTGTTTGCTTGGCTTGAATGAGTCATTTAGGGCATGAATTTACACTGTATGAACTGTCTTCAAATAGTTATGTGGCTATATTTATTATATTTATAAATTGTTCTAATTTTTTTTTTCTCAATATTAATATTGTTTGTACTTTCTATAATTAAAATACATATGGATGACAACGAGATGATTCTTTTAAGATATTGATTTTGGGCTGTTAAGGCTAAATCAAGCTTTAGATAAACCTAATTTAATTAAAATTATCATATATAATTAGATATCTTTTATACATTATAAATTGAATGGGAAGCTTTATAGTAGCATGTTGCGAAATTGGTAAGTAAGAAATTTTCAAAATCGCATATTAATATGTATTTCTTATTTTTGAATTTTTTTTTTATAGAGAAAATTACTTTTTTTTCAGAGTAACGTGCGTAGATGCATATCGGCTCAATACTATTTACAAACAAGGTCAGGACAATACCTCAAAAATTTTATTTACACAACCTGCTTTGGGGCTATTAAATAAAAGTTCTAATATTACAATTTTATATTGTTTTTTGATATAGCATATATATGTTGGAAGTTGAGATATTTCCAGTGCAGGATGTCAAGGTGGACAAAATAATGCAGAACAACCAAAAATCTCTCAAAATACACAACTACATTGGATAAGTATCATTATTATTTATATTTGTACATGCTTTTTCTAAATTAACTATTTATTTTAGATATAGCGCAAATTTAATTATAAACAATGTATCCAAATATGATTAATGGATATGTTTAAATTATGAACCTTTTGTCAATTGTCCTTTGTTATGTGGCAGTATTCTCATGCTATATCCGATTTAGTAATAATTACATATTATCGTTAAAATAATCTATTAATGGAAATGTAATTATTGAATATTCTCACCACATGATTATGATGCATTTTAAATAAAATTTCCTGTGATAACTGATCCCGATGATTTTAATAATAGCATACATTTTAAGTTATACTTTACAATTGTTATAAATTATGATGCTGGGAAAGGAGAGATATTTTTGGCAATTTGTAATACAAAATAATTAAATAAACCTGTTTAAAGTGCCTGAGAATATTTATTGATGAAAAAAAAAAAAACCCTGTTTTTGTGCATAATCACACGTTAATTATATTTTCTATTTTTGGGAAAATAAAAATCGATTAGCCAATTTTGAAAAAATCGACTGGTTAAGCCGAAAATTTTTGGCTTAGCCAACTTTTTCATATTAGCCAAAATCACTAGTGGAAATAATAAGCAGAGTTTGGTTAAAATATTATTGAAAAGTTTGGTACTATTATGAAATTTTTTATTATCAAAATATTGACATTTTTTGTTATCACAACTAAGACAATAGAAGTTAGCAACACGAGATGCTTCTTCATATCACTCGTGAAGTAAGTTGGATTTTTTAAAGATATAGGTTTCAGAAAATGTTTGGAGAGTTAGAAAATAAAATGTTGATGAAATTGAATTCTGAAAGGGATGTGAACTTTTTATTTATTAATATTGAAAGAGAATTGTTTACTGTAAAAAGAATAGTAAGTTTCAAACTAGGAATTAAAGTAATCAAGAGAGTTTTTTAATGAAGAAATACAAAATCATTCCAGAAAGAGAGTTTTAGGAATATTAAAGAAAAATTTAATGTTAAATCTGGCATTAGATTGAATTATAAAATATTTTTATTTAAGATCTATGGTTTGAATAAATGATTCAATTTTAAATCTTTTGTGTCTAAACTATAAGTCTTTAGCAAATTTTTGGTATCAATTAGTTGGTAGTTGTTTGATAAGAAAAGATCTAAGTATGCAAGATTAAAACAAAGTTGAAGATAATTATAAGCTATATATAAAGGAATAGTAACTAGTAAAACAAAAATTTTAAAATAATTAAGTTTAGTAAAGAGAATAGTTATAAATTTGAGGATGAGATTTTTTAGAATAGATTCGAGAAGGTTAAAAGAAATAGTAGCACTCTTGTTAATATTGGGATTACTGTTATAGATAAGTCAATTAAGAATTCAGGTCGTTGTCTAGCCATAATATGAATAATATAATAGAATAATGCTTTAAGTACTGGTTGTATAACAGTAGCTGGCTTAATTTTCTTGCCAAGATAAAAATTATAAAGAAATTTTTTAAGGAAGGTAAAGAGTTGAAGAGAAAATAAGGTTTACAATATTTTATTAGGTTGCATTTCTTCAGTAATAGAAAAATTTGCAACCTAGTCATATATAGAATTAGATATTGGTTTAAAAATATTAGAGTATAATTGAGAAAGAGATTTGTTAGGAATATTTTCAGATTGGTTTATGTTACTGGTCTGGTTGTGATTTAGATTAGAAGTGTTAAGAGTGTTAGTAGTAAAAGGTTGGTTAGAGATGAGATTAGTATTAATAGTTGTAGAAAAGAAAGAATTTATAAGATTGGAAGAAGTTAAGATTTGGTAAGAAGAAGTAGTAAGAGATTGGTAGTTTAAGAAGATTTATATAAGATGTTTTGGAAGGTTTGAGTAAGATTTTTCTTAGTTTTGGATAAACTATCTTCATGTTACGATGAGACAATTATACAAGTAAGATGATAGACTTTATTATTTTTGGAGATATATTTTTCAGTAAAATAATAATATTTATTTTTTTTGGTACAACCAATTAGAAAAAAACATTTAGAACAAGTGTAGTAATGTATATCAAATATAGAAAATGAAAGAACACTATTAGTAGAAGAAAAGAGGTTAGTTATAAGTTCTTGAGTTATTTATTAATTTTTTTAGAATTACTATTAATATATGCAGTTGTGAATTTAGTAACTTGAATATAGTTGGTATTTAAAGTTAAGATGAATTTGATATAGTATTTGTCACAGAGGCAGGTAATTATGAAAATAAAGATAGAAGCTTTAAAGAAATGAGTAATCTTATTGATTTATGATTTTTTATTAAGCAAATAGTAGATTGAACTTTGGGAAGAATTGGATGAGTCTTATTATTGTTGTCTTTTTCATAGAAGGCAATTCTAAAACTATTGAAAAAGTTTTAATAAAAATAATCAAGATCTGTTATGCTAGACTCTTGCTAACTTAGAATAGGCATTGTTGAATAGTAACAAGTTAAATAAAGATTTTAGACTTAGATGTATTTTCTAAAATAAAAAATATAGTTGTAAATAATTAATTTTACAAGAATTGTAAATAAATACAAGAGTTGTAGTTTAAGAATATTACTAGAATGATACAAAAGTGTAACAAAGATGGATAGAATCACTAATATGACTCAAATACTGAATACAGATATAATCATTTCATTAATGATCACTTCACTGAACACTTTATCATATAGCATAATGAGTAATATTGAACAATAATTATTAATCATCAAATAATTGTTAAATATTAACCATCACTCTGTACGATAAGGTGTTCGGCAAAGTGATTGTTGATGAAATAATATATATTCACTGAACACAAGTAGAATTTGCAGTACAAATTATTGTGTAATATTAATAAAGACAAAATATAGAAGTGATTTATTGTATGAATAGGTTTCTATTAATAGATTGGTTACAAAATGGTAGTATAAATTAATAAGATATGAATTATAAAGTGATTGTATAGTTACATAAAAACTGTATAATGGGAAAAGGTGACAAAAGGTAAAAAAAAGTTTTGCAAGAGAATAAATAATGAACTTAGTTGTAGTTTGGTCAATATTGAGTTAAAAATATTTGTTTAGAGCTTATTTTGACCAGATAAATGTATACTACAACTTTAAGACAATAAAAGCTACAAAATAGTTAAAAGTTATCAACTGGAGGTCAAAGGCTATCAGTAAGTTTTTTCAATGCATTTGAAGTATAGAAACTTAATATATGCAAGCTATATGTAAAATAATAAGATGAACAAAAATATTTAAAAGACCAGAACAGGTCTTCTTAGTAAAATAAATAGTTATAAGTATTTTTTGATAAATAAATTTTTTAGTTAATTTTTGTATAATGGATTTGCAGAAAGAGTTTAGGTAATTCATGTGTATATTTATTGATTTATATATATAATAAATTAATATATGAAAAATAACCAAAATTTGATAAATAAATTTTGTAGACCAATTAAACTTAAGATTTTGCAAATTTAATTTGCTTAATTCACTATATAAATTATATATTTTATAATTTTATTACTTAGTTTCTAGTAAATTTATAATTTGATTAGTAATTATTTAATTAGAATTATTATATAAGCTACCTAATAAGAAAGTATTATAGCAACATTTTGTCTCAAATTAACAAAGTGTAATTAATTAATTGAGTAATAGTATTGTAATTGATTGCATGATTGTAGAATATTAATTTAAAAAAACAATAATATAGTTTTTGTTTAATTAATAATAAAGTCTATTGCAAGAGTTATATATTGAAGAGTATATTAAATTTGTAAGCATTAAGAGATTAACTATATAGTTAGATAATTTTTTAATTAGTTAATTATTAGAGTTAGTTATAGTAATAATATAATTACATAGAGGTTATTAGAATAATGATGTCACTATATTATTAGAATTTATTAGAGTAATGATATAGTTATGTTATTAGAGTTTATTAGAGTAATAACATAATTGTGTTGTTAGAGTTTATTAAAGTAATAATGTAATTATATAGTTTTTTGATTAAATTTTGATTAGTAATTATTAGAGCATATTAAAGAAGATAAGGTTTTTTTAGACAAAGTAATTTCTGTTTTTTTTACTAACTTGCCATTGTCTGCTTTTTTTGTCTTGCCTTTTACCACTTTCATAGATACCCAAATAAGTGCTATAGGTAAGCTTATTTAAATGCTGTTTTAGTTTGATTTGGCCTATCAA